AGACAGACAGACAGACAGACAGACAGACAGACAGACAGACAGACAGACAGACAGAGACAAAGAGAGAGAGAGAGAGAGAGAGAGAGAGAGACAGAAGGTCAAAGTCTTTTTACGCCTTAATATCTTAGTTGTTCATGTCGTCATATTTGTAATTATTGGATCGATGCCAGCATAAAACTACGTACAATTTGTCTTCAGTAATTGTTTGTTTTTATGATAATAAAATAGGCTTTATTTTACTTTTCTCCGAAAGTTTTTAATGTTGAAACTGGTCTCGGCCAATACAACGCAGGTTTCACGTTTTTTTTTTTTCAAGGACTTTGGAATTTTCCTCTTTGGCCCTATACCCACGAAGATTGGCTGTATCCTCACTCTCCAAAGATCGAATTTGTAGGGCTTCTCGTAATTCAGTGAGGAGACCGGTAAGTGTTTGCCCTGTATTCATCATCGTTCTGGCACAGTTGCCACATCACAATATCATGTAGACTCTCTCTCTCTCTCTCTCTCTCTCTCTCTCTCTCTTTCTGTCTCCCCCTCTCTTTTTCACTCTCTCTCGATCTCTCTCGATCTCTCTCGATCTCTCTCGATCTCTCTCGATCTCTCTCGATCTTCCCCTCTCTTCCCTCACCCCACAACCAGAGCTGAAAGAACAGGGACAGGAAAAAACAACCCCCAAACCCCCACAAGAGTTGGGCCATAATCTGTACTTCTATTTTTATGTGAGCCCAAGTTCGTTAACGTCATAAGTAAAAATACAGATCCACACTGATGCTGTCATTTTTAATGCTTGAAAAAGAGAACAATTTCTAAAAAATAATGAAAACTCACAAACAACACCATGATCCCTCGAGTCCAAAGGAGACAACGGTTATTTACGTTTTCCCACCAAGGTAGTTTGTTGGTTGGTCCCTCTTTTCCTGTTCCCCCTCTCTCCCTCACTTTCTCCCAATTGTTTCATCTCTTTTATCTTCATGATATTTGTGACAAACATTTCGCTGTTTGTTTAGCTTGAGATATAAACTCGTAAAAACCTGTCTCAGAACATTATAAATACACAAAACAATAATAATACTCATCCATGCACACATTCTTGCATTGTGCACTCATACCTAACCAATTTATATTTGACACTCAAATTGTTTTATATTTTCTCTCTCCCTGTGTCTCTCTGTCTCTGTCTCTGTCTCTCTCTCTCACACACACACACACACACACTCTCTCTCTCTCTCTCTGTCTCTTTCTCTCCTTCCGTCTGTCTCGCTGTTTACCTTACGCAAAGACACACGCACACTCACTCATACTCATGCACTATGTCCTTCTCTCTCTCTCTCTCTCTCTCTCTCTCTCTCTCTCTCTCTCTTTCTCTCTCTTTCTCTCTCCCCCCTCTCTCTTTTTCTTTCTTTCTATTTCTCGTCCCCACTCCCCCCCCTCTCTCTCTCTCTCTCTCTCTCTCTCTCTCGATCTCTCTCAAAATCCCTTCCGTTCTCAATCCCCCCTTCTCTCTCTCTCATTCTCTCCCTCGATCCGTTAAGCTCGCTCTTTCTCTTTCCTCTCCCCACAAACTCATGCACAAACACTTGAAACCCCTCCACAGCCCGTACCCCCCCCCCCCATTTTTGCGTCAGGGGCCAATCAGGATGAAGAGTTGGCCCGGCAAAGAGGTTCAAACGGAAATGACCTGTTGCGTCACCTGGTAGAACGAGGCAGGAGCTTGTTGTCGTTTCCTGTTACCCATCGATTAGGGGCAAAATGGCAACTGCAAACGTCCCTAGCTTTCCCTATTTCTGCAGCTCTTTTTCATAACGCCACTGTGCTGGTTTGCTTCAGTTTGAGTCTGGCTTGCCAGTTAAGTAGTCATATTTTTAATCTGTATCATTGCAAGTTCAGCACGTCTTGAGTACTTATATTCAGACAGACAACATGCGAGTATTCGGCCCTTCTGTACCAAGACAATGTAGGCTACATAACGTGCATTTAATAGTAAGGAAGGTGCCCCCTGATAATAAATATTGCTCTTTCCCGACTCAATGCTCCCCTAAAGACAACAATAGAAAAATGACGATCGGAAAAAAAAGCTTTCCATAAGACTGACTTACTTTGAAACGTTACGTCTTGATTTCAACCAAAGATAGTAAATAACAAGATGGGCCACTCAGCCTAAAAAGTGTCCGCAGGAAGTTCGCTCTTTGCTTCAGATGGCGCTGCAGTCTGTTTTGAAGCTCTCTTTCGTTTTTCCAGAAGAAGAATAGGAATAGCACCTCCTTGCGTGCGCAGATCGACTGCTGTTCATCAGCAGTTCGGGTACGTTCAGTGCGGAGTTTTAGGTTTTTAAAAATTTTAATGACCTCTCGCCCTTCATTCTAAAGTCAAATTAAACAAAGAAAACCATCTCCTTTTCCTCCGGAAGAGGTTTTTTTTGTCAGCGTAACCATTTTTAAAAAGCGTTCTTCCGAAATTTATCCCAAAACTTGCTAGTTTCACTTTGATTTTAAAAAACTCAAGTAGGGTAACTCTGTTCGCAAAGAGTGCGCTTTTGTGAAGAGGGCGCCACCAAATTTTGAGGACACTTTTTTAATTGGCTCAAAGAGAGAAGTGGCCCATCTTGTCTTGTACTATCTTTGTCTCAACCCAAATCATGTCGTATTTTGGTGACATCATTGCAGTGATTCTTATAACTTATAGCCAATATTCAATAATGTGTTTCTCATAGCGTAAGCGAACACAAACAAAGTAAATAATAATATCAGCAAGCTTTCACCGAAGAAGGTTTATCGGTTTTGGTGAACCAAATATTATTGTCCCTATTCCTTACATATCAGAACGCAAGAATGACCTTGACATTTGTGTTTTGTAGCGTGACCCTTTAAGACGACTTTCAAGTCGTATCCTATTGGTCCATTGCGTACGCTATTGAACAGAATGAGTTTATTTTCACGTGGCACTGACTGAAATAGATAACCATCTGAATAGAGCTACCTTTCAGTCTTCTGACAGGCAAGTATTTTGAAAGCCTTGACAATTCCCCAAATAATCATTGTTCAAGAACATACTAAAAGTAAATGAGCCACCAACCTGCTCTTTTGAACAGCGTGGCAAGAACGGAGTCAAACCCATAGAACACTTGTTTCAGTGCATAGCAAGTCTTCCAACTCCTTTCTTCAATTACCAGCCTTCCATTCTTTGCTTTGATTCTTTTGCATTGCTCTATTACCCACTTCCCGTCCATCTCTTTCTCTCTGTATCTTCTTTCTTTTTGTCTGTTTGCCTGTATGTCTGTGTTTCTCACTTTCTGAGTCCCATATGTTCCTCTTTCGTTCCCCCCCTTT